TGTCCAAAAGTTTCTTTGCCAAAGTTTGACAATAGAGCTCAACAGACTTGCAGGGAATAGCATGTGCCTTCTTGTTTTGCCTCACAGCTGGGTAATCGCACTTGATAGGCTCAAAATATGGATTCGGAAAATGCTCTCCCTGATCAGGGCACTCCATTGCCGTTGCCATGCGACATAGACCATCATGGGCATGCATGCCCAGAGGGATCTCCTGGCCAGACAGGAGACATTGACACAGCAAGCCTTGAGAGCTCCCTTGTAGAGCAGCCCAATGTGGGCAACCTTTTTGGGGATGAGACACCTCGGCCCGTCTCGGATGGGGAAGCAGCAATGGAGGGCTCACACTTTGCTGAACAGGACGAGCCCCAGCATGACGATGTGTTGACAGACCAGGACAGGGCCACTTTAGATGCAATGGTGCATCAAGCTATGCTTGGCGCTTCACTGCAAGATGGTCTCTCACTGCCGTGGGAGACAGGAATTATGGCCACCATCTTTGGGGACGCCCCGCTTATCACCCTACCACAATTCCCGCAAGTTGCTCATTCAATTGATCCTGCCAATGTGGAGCCACAGCCCCCTGAGGCTGTAGCTGAAACACACACCAAGAGAGCCAGGACCGATGCTTTCACTTGCAGACTCTACGAACGGGCCATATCCTTCCGTAACACCCTCTCGTATTTGGAGATGGATCATGCCAAGTGGAACAAAGCGCTTGAGAAGCTATACGCTGTGATGGTGTCAGGCCCAAGCAGTTGCCCATCAGGGGTCAAATTTGACCCGCTTGACATGGACAGGAATTTGCAGCAGATACGAGTGTTACGAGTGTTGTGCGGAGCCAGGAGCCCCGACACCATCTCCAAACGTGCAAACAGCTTGCTCCAATTCTGTTTGTGGCATCGTGGTTTCTACTACAGAAAGCATCCCATACCTTTTGAACAGGATGTGATAGCAGACTATGTTTGGGAGAAGCACCAAGATGGCATGACTTACAGTGGTCTAGAATCCTTTGTGGAGGCGGTGAACTTTGGCACGTACGTGCTAGGGCTGCCAGTTTTAGATCCCAGTGTCCCCATTGTCTCGAACTTCGTGAAAGGCATCCTGGACAAAAAGGCCTTGACCAGGCCACAAACCAAGCAAGGCCTCTTACAGTGTCCGAAGTCATTTATCTGGTTTCCGTCTTGCGCAACTCCAGCACAGACCTCGTGGATCGGTTTGCTGCGGGTGCCTTTTTGTTTGCTCTGTTTGGGCGCTGCCGATGGTCAGATTTGCGACATGTGAGCAATTTCTTTCTGGATACCAATGAGGTAGATGGGAGGACGATTGGGTACATGGAGTTCACCACGTTCTCACACAAGACTGCAGCACAGGTTGCTCGCCATGGTCTCCCCCTGCCCTTGGTGGCCCCGATTTGGGGGCTCGAAAAACCATGTTGTGCACCGGAATGGAACAAGATTGCCAAGAAGGTCGGCAGAATTTTCGATAACACTTTCAAAGGTCCCATCCTACCAGCGCCAGATAAGTTTGGCAACTGGGGATCAAGGAGCGTCACCGCTGCAGAGGCATCAAAGTGGCTTTTGGAGTTGCTTCGCCCCAACGGATCCAATTTGGACGAAGTGACTTCCCATAGTCTCAAGTGTACTGTGTTGAGTTGGCTAGCCAAAGCGGGCGCAGAGCCACACCACAGGCTCGTGCTCGGCCATCACAGCACACAAAGAGGGTCGCTGGAGACCTACTCGCGGGACATGCTTTCCGCGCCCCTCCGGGCAATGGAGGACGTCCTGAGGAAGATCCGGATGGGCGCCCTTCATCCCGACCTGACAAGATCAGGACACATCCAAGAACCCACGAAAATGGATTGTGCCAGGGATGAACAGAAAGATCCAGGAGAACCACAAAGTTCCTCCTCCGACAGTTCAGATTCCTCCAGTTCTGACTCGGATAGTACTGAATCAGAGCATGACTTGACCAGAAAATGGCATGCGGTAGGGGGCAGTGACCCCAACGTTTGTAAATCCACATGGGGGTCCGGAACTATGTATCAGCATGTACAGAGTAAGATTGTGCACTTGCAGCAAGATCTTTTACTGCGGTTTGCATGCCACCAGAGACCATAGGGTCATAGAGGCAACGCCTTTCCTAGAGAATCGGAAGTGCAAACGATGCACCCGTGTCTTGAATGCAGCCTGACGAATCCAAACAAAAAGAAGAAGAACCACCTATGTAGCCACACTGTCTTGCTTGAAAGTAATTTGACTAGTTTGTGGATGCCTCCAACTTCTTTGCCCATTTGCCACTGCCAGCTTTTGGCCAACCGTGCGCACGTCTAATAAGTTTCATGAACTACTAACCAGACTCAGGACACAAGCACGTTTTTTTAATAGCTGTCAGGGCACTACTTTGATTTCCTTCTGATATTACTTAGCACATCCTTTGAAGCAATGGCTGCCACGCCAAGAGAGGCCTCCTCGCTCATCCATTCGACAGCAGCATTGCGTGAGCGAGCAGCAAAAGCAGGACTGAGTAACGAAGAGGTGCAAGCCATTTTGGATAACAATGTCACCTCCATCCTCATTCTCGAGGCCCATACACTGGTAGTGGCCAACATCAAGTCGGAAGTGGGATGCAAGGATGATGTCACGACACATTGTGTTTTGCCCTCAGCCGAGAGAGACAGGAGAATCCAGGACCAACAGAAGAGACTCACACTGGACTCAGATTCAAAGGGGATGAAGAAGTCGCTTTCTCGGCTTACGATTTAGTCTTCACGCTTTTAGAAAAAGACACCCTGACCTACCTGCATCCAGAACGTTTCGTCACTAGACGCTTTGAGTTGTCACAGAAGAAGCCGTGGAAACAACTTGCTCTTGACAACGAGTCGCTCACCATTAAGGAACGACCTGCTGACCACACTTGTGCGACCAGAACAGAACTTGAGCTGGTTCAGGCACTGCGTCGTCGTGCCTTGGCATTTGACTTTGTAAGCATTGCCTCATACGAGATTATGAACTCATACCATGCTGAACTTCTTAGTCACTTGCAAGAAGATTCACCGCCCGGATACTCCAACACAACAGTGGTGCAAGTTTTACGAGCGGACAGAGCCGCCTTTTTGCATTTAGCTGAAGTCATCACCTCCCTCAAAAGGGATGCCAATGGGGATCTCCCTTTGGAAGTGCGTTTGATGAAAGTTTTGGTTCGACCCAGTGTGAGCTTCCACTTGTTGCCTCTGGCAACGCATGTGCCTGCGAAGCCTGCACCAAAAGCAAATCCGAACAACCAGAACAAGCGCAAGCATGAAGACACCAAGCCTCCCGCAGGAAAGGACACATCTACTTCCAAAGGTCAAGGTGGTCGGAAAGGAAAAGGCAAGAGGAAATCCAAAACCAAACGTGGACGCGGTCCCAATGTTCCTCGAGACCTCGTCGGCAAGTCCTTGGAGACTCCAGATGGACGTTGGATCATGTTGGATCTGTTGGCCGTACAACTTGCCAACTGGGTGCACCGACGCCGCAGCAGGCGGCCAATGCAGTAGGGGCGTCCATGTGTGCGCCGAGCCAGGGTGCCACAAGCCGCATGGCTTGCCAAGCCATTCATGACTACCACAGTCTGAACCCGGACCATTTGCATCTTTCGAAGCTGAGTTGTCAGCCAAATGCACCGGTAAGACATCGCATGAACTTTTTGCCATTGAGGTTTTTGCAGGAACTAGTCGTCTGACTGCATCACTGCGGCACCTTGGTTTGAGGGACCCATTTGGAGTCGATCACGTAATCTCAAATCACTTGGCCGCTCCAGTTTACAGCTCGACCTTCTGAAAACAGAATGTTTGGAGTTTCTCAAGAAAGTAATTCAAGAAGACGCTTGCATCTACGTGCACTTTGCGCCCCCACGTGGCACTTCGAGCAGAGCTCGTTTCATTAAACGTAAGGGACGCTTCAACCCTCCAGTGCTTAGAACGGACACTCACCTGACTGTCGGTCTTGCTTGCTGCCCTTATTTGTGCCTGGTTTGCTTGCTGGTCTTGTTCCTGCACTGTGTCCAGTACTGCTGCGGCGCCAAAAATCGAACCACTCCTGGCGGCAAATCCCCATGCCAGTGAAGAACGGAGAAGTTCCAAAATTGTGCCTAAAAAGGTGCCTAACGTAACCTCTGAAATCTGTAGATATAAAAGTAGAAATAAAAACAAAAAAGACATGGATTTGCCTGCTGGTCCTGCTGGCTGGTCTTGCCTGCTCTCTCTGCTGGCTGGTTTGCTTGCTGGTATTGTTCCTGCACTGTGTCCAGTATCGCTCCGGCTCCAGGATCGAACCCGTTCCCTGCTGTGGGCTGGGGTGGGCCGATTTATTTTCTTGAAAGAACTACAGTTGTTGTGGTCGTTGTTGTTAGTTGGTGGTTGGTAGGTTGGTAGGTTTGTAGGTTGGTGGTTGTTGGTGGTTGTTGGTGGTTGTTGGTGGTTGTTGGTGGTTGTTGGTGGTTGTTGGTGGTTGGTGGTGGTTGGTGGTGGTTGTTGGTGGTTGTTGGTGGTTGTTGGTGGTTGTTGGTGGTTGTTGGTGGTTGGTGGTGGTTGGTGGTGGTTGGTGGTTGGTTGTGGGTTGTTGTTGGTGGTGGTGGTGGTGGTGGCAGTGGTGGTGGCAGTGGTTGTGGGTGTGGTTGTGGTTGTGGTTGTGGTTGCGGTTGTTGTTGTTGTTGTTGTTGTTGTTGTTGTTGTGGTTGTTGTTGTGGTTGTCGTTGTCGTTGTCGTTGTTGTTGTTGTTGTTGTTGTTGTGGTTGTTGTTGTTGTTGTGGTTGTTGTTGTGGTTGTTGTTGTGGTTGTTGTTGTTGTTGTTGGTGGTGGTGGTGTTGTGGTGGCCGTTTTCCTTGTTGTTGAAAGGTCAAAATTTTTGTTCCCTGGCGCGCTCCCCCTTGCTTGGCCGGGGTCGGCGGATATGTATACACATGTATGGATGTGCAAGTGATGTGGATTGATGTCATTGGATTCTACTTGAGCACCGGTACAGGCCTTGAAACCCCTGGTGGATCTACCATACGCCTGTGCTGGGATCCAAAAGGGCAAATGATATGCAAAGGATGTTTTTCACATTTTCTGCACGTGAAAAAAAACCAACATTTTTGCCGATGAGAGAATGAGGAACTTTAGAAGGAGAGAATGAGGAAGCAGCGGAATGAGAAGAATGGTCGCATTGCGCCCTTCGTTGCTTGACAGGTTTGTGGACGCTCCTTTGTGGAACAGCGTGCCATGGAGCAGCACAAAAGATTCTGCAAGGCAAGTCATGTCAGCCCAATGTGGCTAGCTGTTCGGGAATTGACATCTTTTTGAACCAGGAGTATCGAGAAAGGACAGGAACCCTTCTGACCTTGCTGGGCATGGAACCTAGAGTTTCTGGATGTGAAAAGAGAAAGTGGTCAATACCGCAATGAACGGTTCGAGACACCTGCTGTGAGTGAACACATGACTGACGTAATGGTCAGCTCAAGCTTCACATGAATCGAAATCAGCGAGAAGGAAGTGATTTTGACCAGATCCTTTGAGGTTGCTGGAGCAGGATTTGCTGTGGTCGCGGAGTCTGATAAAAAGAACTAGCACCACTCAAGGGAGATTTGAAAACAACGAAAAACAATGATAGTTTCCAGCTTCAAGGAAGCTCTTTTGTCCCAACGCCACAATCATATGAGTCATCAGCCAGATGGCTCAATTGCTACTCGGCTCCACATCATCCAAGCCCTCTACCAAGTTTGTCACGAACAAACCCTGCGAGTTTCTCTTGAACCCAAGCACGTTTTGTAATTGGATGATGCAGTAATTGATTGTCTTTTATCAGATTCCATGTCCTCACCAAAGCAATGGTCACTTCTTATGCTTCTAGGTTTGCGTAGAAATATCCGAATCGCAAACACCCTGTGTGGAACTGGACTCGTTCGCAGCTTTTCTTTGGCTCCAGAACTGGCAGAAGTTTCTGATTCCCAACAGATATTGATTTACTCTCTGTCTCTGATCAGCTCAGATTTATCAGTTCTCATCCTCTGTAATCTTTTGTCCTTCGGCCTTTTCTTGGGCTGATCCCGTAGGTCTGGGGCTGAGGGAGGCCGTCAAGAGCCCCCCTATAGCTCAGTGTTTTGCATTCATTTCACCTTGACCTCTTCAGTGAAGAGACTTGCAGTTCCAGCCTGAGATTCTCGGGTTTCTCGCCAATTGAGCCTTGTGAAGCAGTGTGAAGCTGTAGCTGGACCATTTCTATAGTTTGAAATCTGATCAATTCTGATCATGCCATTTGCATCTATTTGCACTTTGCCATTAACCTTGCGATGGACTGCTGCTATTGACTCTTGTCAGGCTTGGAGTAGAGCATCCATGCCCTTTTGGATTGCCCGGTTCTCATGAAGTACAAATACAGACTGATGGAATCTGATGGATTTTTGGATGTCTTGTACTTCTTGAAGTAGTCGTGTTTAGAGCAGCAGTCAAACTAAGGTGGTCGGAGGTGCTGACAAAGGCGGCATTTTAGTTCGACGTGGCCAGGTCTGGTTTCGGGCAGAAACACAGTTGCAAGCGGCATGTTCCGATGTTGCAACGTGTGAAGGAGCTCTCTTCTCCTGCCTTCAATGAGCGTTTGTCTACCGGTGCGGAGGCAGATCAGTTCTGCCATCTGCCAGTTGTGCACTTGGAAGTCTGGGACTTTGAGGTGGAGCAGTTGCACGTCACTGGTGATCGACTCCACTACCGAAGAATCACCGGCACTGGCCCAGAGGACTCCATCCCACAAGTCCCCCAAAAGTGATAAAAAGTGCCTAGGCACTTCAGTTGCCCTTCGCACGATGTAAATCTTGCAGCGAGGAGGGCTGGGTCAGCGTTCGGATCAGTGGCAAAGAGTTGCTGACGCAGAAAGAAGACAAGGACTCTGTGACTTGCTGTGCCATAGCTGTGCCAATCAGTCCAAGATGGTATCAGTAACGACCACAACTGGGCTGACCGGGCTCAGCAGTCATCTTTTTTTTCCAAAGCGAGAAAGGAAGCAGAGGAGGTGCCGAAGGAGAGCAAACTTGTTTGGTTCTCAGCGCTGTAACGCGTCCCTTTCAGCATTGTGTCTTTCCAATTGCTTTGCCTTGTGTTGCCTTCCAAGGTTTTGACTTTGCCGATCCAGCACAGGGAGGTCGTTGGGCCATCTTCTGGTTACACTCACCGGTGGGTGCTCACCTTAGTCTGCACACAAAATCTGACTTGGCTTAGCCTTGCACACACGCTTCCCTGAACTTCCCTGAGGCTGTCAACATTGATACCTGGAATCCAGCTGGTGGATCGGCTTTGGGCTCATGAGACTGGAACAGACTCGAATATTCTTGGATCTACTTTGGCACGACATGCAGCCAGTAGTGGCGTAGCTTGCTTGCTGCATACGGTTCCGCGCCAAGGACGGCAGGGAGTTTCAATTTTTGCTGCACCTCATCAAAGAGGAGAATGAAAGAAAAGCGGACTCTCTGACATGTTGTTGGTATGGAATGTTCCATTTGCATCAAACCAAACCCATTGAAAATGTGGTCTGGAGTTTTGGCAGATTCTGGAGACTCGCATCTTCTTGAATGCAACTGTATATCTTTTTTGGAGTTAGCTCTGTCAGTCTGTCATGGCTAAATATCATTTCATAATTAGGAGAAAACAATTTCGGGGTTAGAATGGGAATTATTTGTGGCCAAAGTATGCTAGCAATTCATGCGCATATGGGTGTTTCCTGAAATTGGGGTACCCCCAGATCATCCATTTAAATAGGATTTTCAATTGTAAACCATCAATTTTGGGATACCCCCATTTTAGGAAACCACCACATCTTTTCATTTACAACATGCACATACAAAAACAACTATAATTTACAGTAAACTATATGTAGATGTATACGAAACATAAATGTGTACTGTATATTATATACACATGTATCTACACATTGTATGCATAGTCAACAGACTTCCGAAGCTCATTCCAGGTCTTGCGCTTCAAGTTTCTGGATGACCAGAAGCGAGCGTTGATTTCACGGCTTTTAGTTCGTGCATCGCTTGGATTTACATTTTGGAAGCAAGCTTGCAAAAATATCTGCGAACACCTGCAAACCTTGGAACATGCTCAGGTCAAGCAAGTGCATCCTCCTTGAAGCTTGAATGCAGAGGGATGCACATATGCAAGGCTGCAACCCAGGCTCACTTGGGTGCAATATCTACTTACATATTTACAACCTGATGCAAACGGCATTGTCAGACACTTGGGGTGACTCGAAACCAAGGAATAAAACGAACTTCGATGACATCGAGATCAAACGAACAAAAGGAAGGTCCAAGACCCGGGCACCTCAACGTAGAGAAGTCTTGTTGCGCTTTGGCAATCACTCAGGAAGCCTTTCTTGGCCAATCCTTTGCCCCCGGAAAAGGAGGCAATTGCGCACAAGCGGCTTGTGATTAGCAGGTGTTAGGACTGTTAGGATTCCTGAGAATCCAAGAATGGTTTGCATGGAGTTTGCATGGAGTTTGCATAGAGTTTGCATGGAGTTTGCATGGAGTTGACATGAAGTTGACACGCAGGCACCCAACTGGAATGTGAATTGTTCCCATGAAGGCAAATGGGCTGGAGCCTCGGAGGCACAGGGAGAGCATGGCGATGGCGCTCAGGAAAGATCACTTTCAGCAACGTCATGATTCTCCAGCCTCGTTCATTGAGAGAGAGGGAGAGATCATCAAGCCTTCCAGTGAATTCTTGCGCAACAAAATGAACCTTCAACCTGTTTGTAATTTGAAAGGCAAGGAATTGTAGGCGATTGACCAGAACGGGAAGAGTTGCAGAGTCCAAAAGCAAGAACAGATTGAATCCAGACCCTTGGACAGCCTATGAGTGAGGTCGTTTGTGCCAGCGAAGCTCATGTGATTGCTGGTATAGACGTGGCTGAGTGCGCTCCTCAAAATGACTCTTTCGTGAAAGGGAGTTGCCGGGGCAGAACTTGGCCAGAGTGCACCCTTCAGGGAATGCTGCGACCCAATCAGTTTTGATTTGTCAATTGCTTTCAACTGCTTTCAACTGCTCGAATGGTCCAAGGTTACGAAGGAAGAAGAAAGATGGAGACCCAATTGACTTTCATGATGTCTTCAAGGACTTCTCAGTCATCTTTTGAAGGATTCAAATTTCATCCCGACTGCGTAGCAAACAAATAGACTGTGATTAGGGCGTGCGTTTTGGTCATTTTTGCGTGTCATGTACCATGACGCAAATGTGTGATGGTGAGTTATCATTCCCCCCGGGTCCGCATCTAGATGCCTTTTTGGTCCGCGCTGATACTCATGTCTACAGTGCTTGGTTGTGAAAAACGATACAATCCGCGCTGACACTCATTTCTACTGTGCTTGGTCGTGAAAAACAATGCAGCCAGGAAGAGGTTTACATGGTCGTCTCACAGTGTGTTATCATGTGTGCCCACAAGAAACGTAAGTATGATACGACTAACTAACCATACTGAGTGACGCATCGAGGTGTACAGTCTTTTGGGCCACTGAGCTGCTTGTTTGGTCCGTGCTTACACGCCTTCTTTGCCGCATCTGGGGGCTGTGAAACTTCATTGGAATTGGTTCTCGCGGGGCGTGTGTATGATGTGTCGATCCACACTTAGACGCTCACGTCTACAGTGCTTGCTTGTGCAAAACGATGCAGAACGAAAGCGAGCGAGCGAAGCGAGTATTCAATTACCAGTAGTCCTATGCTTCCACTCTAACTCATGGAAACAGAAGGCAGAAAAGAATATAGGTGACCATTTTGGATAAATGCACTAGGTGGAACAGGTTGCAAAAAGGCCGCCTTCAGCCATTATCTTAGCGCATATATGGGATGGGGAAAGACGTAGGACTAGTGAGAATGATGGCAGCAGAGTGACGCGATGTGGAGAGAGGTTAATTGTCATTTAACTGATAAGAATCTTGGCCCCCTCTGCTGTACACCGGTAGCGAGGCACGTTTAGGCGTGTTTCAAGCTGTATGATTTGGCATGTGATACAGAAACATTCATCTTGCTCGTAGGAAGCAAACGCACGATGCGGCCATGTCGGCCTTTTCCTGGTTACATGATTTTTTGCGTACCATACAAACATTCATCTTGCTTGTAGGATGCACAACCACGATCATAGCACGAATCGACTTCTACTCTAACTTGTGGAAGCAGAAGGCAGGAAAGAGTATAGGCAACCATTTTCGACATATTCACTCTGTGTCGCTTTTGGAGTTCAGACAATGCGCGCGTAGTTTCCTGCAGCTGTTTCGCTCTTGTACATACTCCTTACATATGTTGCAACTAGAAATTCCTTGTCCCAATGCGCAGTGGCAACAAAAAGGGAGCGGCTGGGGCTTTCGTTCCCTCCTTCTCAGGTAGAATGCAGTCTGACAACAGTGCACACGAAAATCGGAACTGTAGCTTCAATGTGGCTGTGGATTTTCAACAGTTGTCCGCTGGTATGTCCGAAAGAGATCCAAAGAGTGTGTTTGAAATTTGAGTATAGCATGGTGCACCAATATAAAGGCCAATTTGCTTTCCCATTTATTTGTGCGGACCAACAGAAAATTAGATTCTCGCAATCCCCTACAGAGTTTGTTTTTCCCGTGTGGGTTTGCAAAGCATTTGAATCGGCATTTTCGTGATTTCGTTTTTTTTTTGCTGGCATGATATTTCCCAGCAGTCGCATAACACGAGTCGAATGTATTCCAATCCGCAACCAGCTGTGCTCATATTCTGGGAGTCATTGCAGAATAGCACGATGACGATGTCTAAATATGTCCACCCTGCATCAGGACAACCTGACCTACAAAGAATGGGAGTATGTAAAGACGCATGGACCGTGTTTGGACAAGGAGTACGAGGCGCTTGCCATTTCCTGTAGCCGATGATTGGGATGGTTTCATGAGTGCCGATTACGGTACAGCTCTTTCTGTCATTGAGACTTGGGCAAAGATTTGGCTTCTTCGTATCACAAATTGCAACTGTGAGATCTGTGAAATCTGTGAGATCCGTGAGGCTTTTTCCCGCTTTTGGTCGGCCAAGGAGGCCTTCGTGAAAGCACGAGGTGATGGCCTGGCGTATCCTCTTGGGCAGGCAGTGGACTGAGATGACTAAGTTTTACATAGTTTTACCACGTTTCAGCAAGTTCAGCATGTCCATGTAAACGTGTGATAAGATAAGCGGAGCCTGGTTTTGGTAGGCTGATGACATTTTGTTAATTTCTGAGACAAAAGCATATTTTTGTCTCTGAACTCCGTCAAAACTCAGTGGGCTTTTCATAGCCCCCATGTGCGATTTTGCAATTGAAAGAGGCAGAGTTCCATTGGAAGCCCATTGATGGCTATGAACCTGGCACCGCCTTTGAGGGTGACGTTCACATTGAAGGCACAGTGGCATCAAACATCGTCAAAGTAAAGCTTTGCAGAGAGATTGAGCTGTCAGATTTCGTGAAGGCACGCACAGCCCGAAGTGGCGATTTGTGCAGTACAGGCAGCCCAGAGAGTGCGATTTGTGGGCTATGTGCCATGTGAATGATTGTATAATATTGTATATAGATTATTGTATATAAATCTATTTGAATTTGATGATCATAGTTTGATCGTAATTTGGCAATTTTCCGTGGAAAGGATATTTCTTCGCTGCAGGATGCCTGGAGATTCCCCTCATTGGACAACTGTGGGGAGGGGGCCACTGACCGACATCGTGGATGCGCAAACCTGTCGAGTTTTGTGAGAAGGATATTAGAAGGTTTACAGGCTGTTAGAGGAGGATCACACTAGTCCAAGTTGCTGATTTTATCTTCTTTCCTCTGCATAGATGTTGGATTTGGGAACTGCCAGGCATGGCGAGTTCAAAAAGACTTTGCGCAAGCCGCAAGAGCTCTTTTCTGACAATGAATGGCAGGCCTCCTGACCGTCTGATTTGTGAATCCGTAGCTGCTCGTGTTGCTCACATGAGGCCCACCTGTACTCGCACAGTCCACACTTTGATATTCTTCCGATTGGGGCACTTGTCCCTCAGGACTGCCATATGGGCAAGTCATAGGGCTGGGAGATGCAGTTCATCACCTTCGGATTGATTCACATCCATTTCCATGAGCTGCAGTATGGAGCCGCTGTTGACAAACTTGTGGAGGACAACATGGCTGGCTTTGTTGCAGCTGGCGGCATTTGCTTTCCATGACTGCGACCTGAACAATTCGACACAATGCAAATACATGCAAAGACTGTAGTAAAGGTGTAAAGCTTTGCAAGTTTTCCAATGAGGGAAGAATTTGGATTTTGAATGGGAGCACAGGCGCTCCAAGAGCGCAAGAAAAGGTCTTTGGCAGACCAGCGGCTGCATCGAAGCTGTGCAACCGGCCATTCCGGCCATGACACAGATATTTGCAACATTGTGCAACCAAAACTTTTCCACTCTTTTCCGTGGATATGTGTCCTTCTCGTCCAACTAGGGCACCATATTCCATAATCCCTACAACATATAAAAAAATTATAGCCGTTTGTATTTATTTTGACTCCTTTTGAAGTCAAGTGCTGGATGCTTTCAACTTCCCCTGTGTGGGGGCTGGAAGTCACTGGGACCTCCCAGGACCGTGCGAAATTGAGATCTTCCATTCCATACGATTCGATACGAGTTGAGCTTGTTCGACTCATGTGGTGGCAGAAAAGAAGTGCTCCACGGTTCACGGAAGGCATGGAAGGCATGGAATGGGGAGCCATGGCACACGGATTTACGAAGTCGCAGAGTCACATCCCAGTCACTTTCTTGTGCTTGCCGTCAGCCAATGCACAGCATTTTCATGAGTGAGAAAACAAGGGGACGTGTTTTGCATTGCTCATTTGCGTACATACATGATGTGTTGAGGTGTTGTTGGAGAACGGTGCAGTTTGTTTTGATGGGTTGTTCCATGGCCTTTCGCTGGTGGAAACAAGATCTTGAAAGGCGAGAGCAGAATGTAAGAACAGGTGATGGTTTCGTGAAATTTAGAGAGCTAAACCGCCACGTTCGCAGCCCTTTATGGTATGGCGTGTGGGACATGGTTCTAGCAGGCAGGACGCAACGATGGTCATTGAGCAGATCTGGAACTGGAAGTCATTAGAGAAAGCTGGGTGAGTTGAGTCGGGTGAATTTTCTTGCATGAGGTAACACAGTTTAACACAGGCTCGCAGAGCTTTGGTTCCATAGGATCGACACTGCCAAAGATCGAAGTGTGTGCATTTGTTGTGCTCAGGCGCGGTAGAATGTCGCCTGGAAAGTGCGAGTGCACCACAACTGCAAGTGGACCATGTGACTTTTGCAACTTCCCAATTTTTACATATTTTCACACTGGCCGACTTCGACTTAGGACCTGGCCACCCTTCTGAATGCACTCACACTGAGAGACAAGGACATGACTGAGGGATAGTGATGTGAATGGGTGGAAAATAAAAACGCTAAGGGCTAAGGACTCTTTTTTTGATAGGAAATCATGGCCTGAAGATTTGAAGCTTGATTAAAGAAGAACCCAGGAAGCATCAGCAGCATGCAAATAAAATGGTCTGATGGCTCTTTTCACACTTCAGGAGCAAAAGGACCAGCGCGTGATTTGCGAGGCGTTGCAATGACCGTCCAGGTTGTTCACAGTGGTGAAAATGGTGCGACATGGTTTGCACACACACACAAGGTGAAGCGAAAAGATACTTTATCACGAAAAGTTCCAGTTGCATGGCCCAAAACTTGTCAATCTCAGCGGTTCCAACTGACACCAGGTTGGACATACTTGGACACTAGGACGGGTCCTGGCAGTTGCGAAGCATGTCAGTGGCGACACGTCTGGTCTTTTCACAGCTTCACATCAGCAAAGGCAATCCAAAAGCAGTCCCAAGCCTTTAAGCGAGATGCATACGCACAAAGCTGTTTGAAGCGGTCCTGAAAGTAAGTGTAATGTGCGATCTACAAAGGCCACCGAGAAAGCAAACACGCAACTAACTGCAAACTGACCAGACATCAAGCAGCGAACTGTCGGCGTGTCAGGTGATATTCAGACAACATAGAACACCAGAACAACCACAAATTCGCGAGCAATGATATGCTTTGAGAAAGCAACAACCGAATGCTCTAAAGATCTTGAACGTTTTCATTTTGGTGTGTAGCTGGCTAGTGACGTTCAAAATAAACCTGGGAGGGATGGCTTTCTGAATACAACAAGGGTAGAACCAATTGGGCTTAGAAATCTTGAAAATCCAATGAAAAGCGGAGGAATCGCTTCCATTCTGCGCATTGACACTACAAACACACCTGAGCAAAAGTGGGTACTTTCCATCGCAGTTTCATTGATGACGATGTCTCAAGCACACTACGACTACGACTACGACTACTACGACTACTACGACTACTACGACTACGACGACTACTACTACTACTACTACCGCTACTACTACTACTACTACCACCACTACCACTACCACTACCACTACCACTACCACTACCACTACCACTACCACTACCACTACCACTACCACTATTACTACTACCACTACTACTACTACTACCACCACCACCACTACTACTTCCTCTACCACTACTACTACCACCACTACCACTACGACTACGACTACGACGACTATACGACGACTATACGACGACTATACTACGACTATACTACGACTATACTACGACTATACTACGACTATACTACGACTATACTACGACTATACTACGACTATACTACGACTATACTACGACTATACTACGACTATACTACGACTATACTACGACTATACTACGACTATACTACGACTGTACTACGACTATACTACGACTATACTACGACTATACTACGACTATACTACGACTACTACGACTACTACGACTACTACGATTACGACTAGGACTATATAGGACTAGGACTACGACTACGACGCCATGAAATCATAGAGTCCGAAATGTTCTTGTTGGCTGTCAGCTTGTTTTCGAGGCATAAAAGAGCTTTACAGCTTGAGACAGAATTTGCTCTCAAAATCCTGTTTGGTGTTTAAGTGCTACAGCCAATGACAAAAATCGCTGCGACATCGATAAATCGGCTGCAAGCAATCACCACTGTACCGTCATGGAACTCTGTGGAAACGGCCACCATTGCATTTGCCTGCTTAGAGACCAGCTTGACCCGGTGACCCAATGCTGTGCAAACAGCAATCCGCCTAGAAGAGTCGCTCTGCAATTCTGGTGACGGCAACTCGTTCAACGAAAGGGGCAGAAACCATGCACGACGACGAAAGCGAAAACTAGATCGGCGACTGTTGTTGGCCGCATTCGTTGAGGTCTTTGTTTGGGTTGATGTGCTTTGGCCGTGCGTTGCGTTATCTTTTTAGGGGGAAATCTGTTACTTCTTCGATCCCGCGCGTGTGGGAGGATCTCAAAAGAGTACAATGAGCACAATAAAAAGAAGGGCAGCATCCAAAACGGATCAAAGGGCTTCTTGAAAATTTCCTTGCAGCCAATTCTGGACGTGATAGGCAACTTTTCATTATAGCTTCCCACTTGACCATGGGTGAGTTGGTGAGCCCTCCGGAGAACAAAAAACCCTTGGACAAGACGTTTGAGAAGCTGAAGGACTCAAATGAGATTTTGCAGTATTTGACACCTCTGTCTGCTCACAAAGTTCATATAGCACCGCCTGCAAACAACACGCGGTTTCTAAAGATTCAGAAAAGTGAGAAAGGTGCAAAAGGGTAAGAAAAGGGCAACAATCAGGGTGGGAGCAACCCAAAGGTTCAGCTCCCTTGACAATGACAATCGTCCATTGTGTTTTGCCTTTCAGTCGGAGAAGAGAATTTCTGCCCCACCCTTAATATGGTAGCAGGCAGCACTCGCAGGGCCTGAGGGTAGAAAGTAGCATTGGACCCTGTCGTGGATGCATTCTTTGTTTGTTTTAGACTTGGTGTTTTTCGTTCTGACGTTTCATGTGCACGACATTTCAAAGGTGCAACTGTCGCTTGTATTGTAATTTTCACTATTTTGGCCAAGAAAGTTTACTGTCACCATTCTCTGCCAGGATCGTTCTAGAGTTGTTTCCCTTCCGTTGTATGTCTCCGTTGTAGCCTTCCCCGGTGAAGCTTTGGCGCTCGGAGGTCCTCCCGTTGCCCGGTCGAAGTCCTGGAGCCGTTGTATCTCCCGTTGTGAGTCCCCTCCCACCACCTGAAATGAGAAATGATTTAGATTATAAAACAATCTATAAAACATTATAAATATGCTTATTTGAGAATGGTTTAAGAGTATATTCAGGGTTAATAAAAAAGATTAAGAATGTTTTCTTTCAATGTATATATGATTATATATGTATATTTAGCTGATTTTCTGAAAATAATAACTGCCAACAAAGCAATTTCTTGGCACTTATTTGTGACCATCTAAAATTTTAAAACATCCAAAAGACATCCAAAAGACATTCAGAAGACGTCCAAAAGACATCCAATCTGTCTGTCTGTCTGTCTGTCTATCTGTCTTTGTATTAACTTGTATATATATATATATTTGGATGGATAGATAGATAGATGGATAGACCGATAGATAGACAGATAGATAGATAGGTAGATAGGTAGATAGGTAGATAGGTAGAAAGGTAGATAGGTAGATAGGTAGATACATAGATAGATAGGTCCTGAAAGTGGTTTGACCTATATAGATTCACCAATATTCATGGGCATGCTGGAAATGTCAAAAACAAGACCAGAAACAAAGTGCGACAACGAAGCGGCAGAAAAGTTGAAGCCACGGCAAAGAATTCGAAAACGGGCCTCTACAAAATTTAACAGTGATTTTTGTTGATTTTTAGACCCCAAACAAAGGTTTCTCTACAAATCCAATTGTTTCTGGGATGTTTTTGGGATGATTTTTGAGGGTGTATTTGAACCAAGTTTTTAGTGCCTATATAAAGCGGTGGATTTCTATGATTTGGATTTTGTAGAAGCGCCGGCTGCCCCTGGTCCCAGCAAAAGTGGGGTTGGGTGTTTGGATTTTGTAGGCTTGAAAGTTTCCAAGTTTCCTGTTCAAATGCTATGTTTTTTGGTTTTGTAGAGGTCGTTTTGGTGTTTTCTAGAAATGTGTCTACAAAATTTGCAACCCCAACCACCAGGTCAATGTTTTGGGGTATATTCTAGAAGCAATTATATGGGTGATCAGATGTGTGCTGGGCTTTGTGAGAGACAAAAATGACAGAAGGAGGAGGGAACGAGAGCACGCCTGAACAGAACCAAAAAAGGCTTGGCATAAGGAGCGTAGAAAAAAGTTTTTAAACGAGGTTAAAAGTTGACAAACCCATCGACCCCAATACAACAAGGACACGTTCAGATAAACGTGATGCACTGACATATTTCATTTTAGAACAAAGAAAGGAGTCCATGCGATTTGGATGTGTCGTTCTACTTTTCTTGCACCAGAGAAAAACAGCAGTGTTTTTGGTGCAAAGGTGAACCATGGTGAGGGACAGCCGCTTCTAGCTATGCGCTCACATGTAGCAATTTTGTTTAAACTAGTCAGCCAGTCAGCCATCTATCTCAAAATGTGACGAATCTTTTGAATGATCGCTGGACCTGTCGTGTGATTGCATGGGTTCCTCCAGGTCGTCGCGTGCTTGGTTATCCTCGTCAAAACTGGTCCAGTAAATTTACCCGTTGCAGTACCATCAACTGAACCAGGGGCAAACATTGGTTTGCGGAAATGATTGCTGGTTGCAAATTGGTGACGATGTTTGAACGAACTTCTTAATTTGCGAATTGGTTTTGCCAACCAGTGCGCTCAAACAGGTGAGTGTTTCGCCTGCATGTGCCGGTGATTGGCGTAGCAACATGCAGCAGCAGCGAATGGTGCACCACATGCTTACTCATCCATGTCACAGTGTAGACGGTGGTTTGCGTAAAAGGTGGTTTGTCAAAAGTTGGTTTGTGTAAAAGTTGGTTTGTGTAAAAACTGATTTGTGTAAAAACTGGTTTGTAAAAATTGGTTGGTGCAAAACGTGGTTTGTGTAAAAACTGGTTGGTCGAACAGTTGGTTAGCGTAGAACCTGGTGCGTGTAAAAGTTCGTTTGTGTAAGAGCTGGTTGGTGTAAAAGGTGGTCTGTGGAAAAGCGAGCAAAGCGGGTTCGTGTAAAAACTTGTTGGTGTAAAAGTGGGTTTCTGCAAAGATTGTTTGGTGTAAAAAGTGTTTGTGTAAAGACTGGCTGGTGTAAAAGTTCGTTTATGTAGAAATTGGCGTGTGTAAGACTTTGGAAGTTAAACAGAAAAGAACCAAGTTGGTAGATGCAAGCGGCATGGCTGTGAGAGTGCGCGCGGAGAATGCCGTGAGTGCAGAGGAAGAGCAGCAGTATGGAAAGTGTAGGGCACCATAGCAGCAAGTTAGAACGTACTGTTGTCTGGAACGGGCAGGAAACCGTGATGAAAACGTGGAAAAAATCGCATCGCAATGGCGAGAGCGGGCTGTAAAACGCGGAGAGAAAAGTGGAACAATGCCGCCAAGGGCGTGCCTGATGATGATGATGGTGATGATGGTGATGATGATGACGATGACCGCCGAAACGATGTTGATGTAAATAAGGTCAGTGCTGTGGGAACTGAAA